GGAGTGGAGGAGCAAGTGCAGCGGTGCAAGCGGGGTGGGGCAGAACGAGCCCCCGGACGAGGGTCATTGGGCCCCAGATCTCAGCCTGGGGGGAACATGGGGACAGCCTGGAGCTCTGTCTGTCCGTCCCTGTGCAGAGGAACAAAGCGTCACTCAGTCTGTCCGCAGCCTCCACCCCTCCGGAGCTTTACAGACGTGGAAACGGCGCCAGAGTGCGAGCCCAGGGCCGGAGCGGGCCCAGAACCGGGAGCGCCAGGAAAGGGCCCGGTGCAGCCTTGGCCGGGGCGGGGCGGGGCGGCGAGGGAGAGCGCCAGCGGTGACAGGCGGTGACTCACCACCGGGTGGCTCTGCTCCCTGCAGCCCAGGCCGAGCCTTTGTTCCCGACCTTCCCGGGCCGGGCCTTAAAGGGCCCGCTGCTCCGAGGCTGCAGGCGCGGCCACCCCGCGCTGTCATCCGCCCCGGGGAGCTGCTCCCAGCCTACGGGCGCGGCAGAAAAGGCGGCATCCTGCAGCATGTGGAGCTGCCTGGTCCACCCTAAACTAGGGGAGGGCCCTCGGGTCATTTCGCCCTTCGCTCTGCCTCTGAGCAGGGCTGCCCCCAGCTGGCCAAGGAGGATCAGGGCAACCCGTCCTCCGCGTTTGGAGCGAGCCCCTGGCACGGCCCCTGCGCCACGCGCCGTCCCCGCGCCACGCCGACGCCCCTGCGTGGTGGTCTGGCCCGGCCCGTGCGGGCTCCTGTCCCGAGCCCCGCGGAGTCCGGGTCTCACGCTGGCCCGGCCCGTGCGTGGGCTCCGGGCAGGAGCCCCCCGCAGCCTCGGAGCCCGGGAGAAGCCTCGGCCGCCGCTGCTGGGGTGCGCGCCGCCGTGCGGACGCAATGGAGAACGCGCCTGCAGGCCGCGCCGCGGACCCCAGAGAGCACCCCCGGCTAAAAGCAGTCCGCACAGGTCCAGGTGAAGGCAGGCCCTGCGTCCGAGAGGAAGGGACGAGGCCTGCGAGTCCCAAGTGCTCTGAAGCAATGACCCTTAGACCCGCCGAACAGCAAACGCCACCAGCTCTGCTAAAACCTACAGATTTGCTTTCCCCGGAGGCTTGGCAAGGCCTCTGCGTTCTCCCAGTGCCCTGCTCATCCCTCCGCCCACCCCTACCCCAGCCCCACGGTTTGGTTAATGCTCAAAACACACCCCTAGTGGTCTGAGTTTAAGGTTTTGTTCACTATTCATATGCAAATTTCCAGAGAAGGAGTCTGGCGGGAAGCTGGAGCTGTTTATCCCACGTTGAGCTGAGAGCTGGGTTTGGGAGGAGGGGATTGTGCAAAGATTGTCGCTACTGGACAGGCTGGGGGATGGGGTCTGGACAGGAGGAGTGGGCACAGCCCAAGGAATGCTCCTAGTAACCTGGCACAGATCGTCGCTGGATGGGCTGGGACCACAGGTTGTGGCCGTTGCGCGGTGTTGGCCCCGGGAGCGCCGGCCCTGACTCACCTGGACAGCGGGGCCCAGACCAGCCAGCCGGGCTTCGACCACATTCCCAAAGGCTCTAAACGCTGTGTGTGGCTCGCAGGCCCGCACAGGTCCTCAACCAGGCTCTTGCCCCAACTCCTCCGGCCTCGCAGGCCACCCCAGCACAGGCGGAAACCCAGGCCTGCGAGACGGAACACGAAGGGCCGCAGGGAGAGACGGAGCGTTGCATTCCTTCGATGCCTACGGACCAGTTTCCTTCTTCTCTGGGCTCTGGGCCCCAGTCTGATTTTGGTGGCTGTGAAAAATAACCTGTGGCCAGGGCCTGACTCGAGCGGCCAGCAGCCCAAGGGGTCGGTGTTGACCAGGGCCTGTGGGACGGGTAGTGACCATGCCTTATTCAGCCGTGGGGCCCAGCACTGTCTGGTGTGTGTGCCCGGTCTGTGTCGCACGACTGGCACCCTCCGATCTCCATTCTCACCTCCCAGGGGACAGTGTATAAATTGCTCCGCTGGCCAAAGTGCACGCTCCTTAATTGCCCTCTGTGAGTCCCACCCTGCCGAAGCTGCACACACGAAATTTGGATAATGAGCAACCCAGGCACAGGGAAATGCCCCGTGTGGAAAGCTGATAGCCTGGGGGAAAGTGTGTCTGAGTGAAAGAGCCACTTCTTTGTGCTCAGAGCCTCCAGGAACGGTCCACAGAGACGCAGGGCCCAAGGGACGCGCACTGCCAGGGCTGGCTCTTTCGGGGCGGGCGCTCTTTGGTGGCACGCAAGAGCCAGCGCCCGCCTGCCTGTAGGTGCAAGTGTGTATCCTCCGGGCAAAGGGAGCCAGGGGCCAGGAGTGTGGAATGCAGGTGACAAGAGGAGGGTGGGGACTTGGGCTGAGCTTCGAAAGCAAACGTTAGAGAAGGCCTGGGGGACAGAGGCCAGTTCTGTTCGCCTAGGTGAGGTTTGGTCCAGTCTGCAGTCTGACTTGGGGTCTCCAAATAAGGGTGCTCAAGACCATTTTGGGGCTGGGCGCCGGTGGCTCACGCCTGTAATCCTAGCACTCTGGGAGGCCAAGGTGGGCGGATTGTTTGAGCTCAGGAGTTCGAAACCAGCCTGAGCAAGTGAGACCCCGTCTCTACTAAAAATAGAAAGAAATTAATCGTACAACTAAAAATATGTAGAAAAAATTAG